CCAACGGTCCATCCAGTCCAACATCCTGTCTCACACAATGGCCATCCAGTTCCTCTGGATGGCCAACAACAGGGCATAGAGGCCGAGGCCTTCCTACCTAAGAACATCAGAAGAGCCCTGCTGGATCAGACCAGTGGTCCATCTGGTCCAGCATCCTGTCTCATACAGGGGCCAACCAGTTCCTCTGAAGGGTCAACAACAGAGCATAGAGGACAGTACTCACCGCGGTTCCCAGACCTGAAAGGAGCAGCACTAAGGTAGAGAAGGCAGAGTAGGGTGGCTCACAACCCCACCTTTCTCTGTCCCAGGCCAGAGAGAGGGCACCTTAGCAGTGCCAGACAGTGGTCCACGTAAGAACATAAGAAGAGGCCTGCTGGATCAGACCAGTGGTCCATCTAGTCCAGCATCCTGTTTCACACAGTGGCCAACCAGCTCCTCTGGAGAGGCAGCAACAGGGCAGAGAGGCCAAAGCTTTTCTAATTACATAAGAAGGGCCTGCTGGATCAAACCAGTAGTCCATCTAGTCCAACATCCTGTCTCAAATAGTGGCCAACCAGTTCCTCTGGACGGCCAGAAACAGGGCAGAGAGGCCGAGGCCTTCCTAAGAACAGAAGAAGAGCCCTGATGGATCAGACCAGTGAGGGTCCATCTAGTCCAGCATCCCGTCTCACACAGTGGCCAACCAGTTCCTCTGGAGGGCCAGCAACAGAGCATAGAGGCCAAGGCCTTCCTAAGAACATCAGAAGAGCCCTGCTGGCATGGTGACCAACCAGTTCATCTGGAGGGCCAACAACAAGGCGTAGAGGCCAAGACCTTTATACCTAAGAACATAAGAAGAGCCCTGCTGGATCAGACCAGTGGTCCATTGAGTCCAGCATCCTGTCTCACACAGTGGCCAACCAGTTCCTCTGGAGGGTCAACAACAGGGCATAGAGGCCTTCCTACCTAAGAACATCAGAAGAGCCCTGCTGGCACAGTGGCCAACCAGTTCGTCTGGAGGGCCAACAACAGGGTGTAGAGGCCGAGGCCTTCCTACCTAAGAACATAAGAAGAGCCCTGCTGGATCAGACCAATAGTCTATCTAGTCCAGCATCCTGTCTAACGCAGTGGCCAACTGGCTCCTCTAGAGAGGGACAACATAGTGTGGAGGCTGAGGCCTTCCCCTGATGTTGCCTCCTGGCTCTGGGATTAAGAGGCTCTCTCTGTAGGGGCTCCCTTTACTTTTAGTGTTTTTATTTGTTATATATTTATTAACAAAATATATATCCTGCCTTTCCCCCCTCCTAAAGGCCAATAAGGCAGCTTACAATTTAAACCATATATAATAAAAACCACTTTTTAGAACCTTTTAAGATTAATGCCAAGAGCAACACACATCATCGAAACATTTTTAAAAGAGTTAAAATACATACAGATAATTAAAAATAGCAATTAAAACATTGGTTAGGAAGGTTGTATGCATTTTAGCTCCGGTTTTAATTGTTTTAATGATGTGTGGGTTTGGTTGGTTTTAATGGCTTTTAAGATCTGGTTTTTATTATGTATGTTTTAATTTTTTGCCGCCTTGGTGGCTCTTACGAGGGCAGGGGGGTGGGGTGTAAATTCTGTAAAATAATTTTTTATTAAAAGGTTGGGTTGAAGCATTCAGAAACCCCCCAATAAAATTTGTGTCCCAAATGTACAGCTGTACAGGGTTCATTGTAACGTGTAAAAGTGTGGGCACCCTTTTCTAAGGGTGTAGTGGTATGTCAGTTTGGTGTAGTGGTTAAGTAAGGTAAAGGTAAAGGTTCCCTTGCTCGAAAGCCAGTCGAATCCGACTCTAGGGTTGCGGTGCTCATCTCCGTTTCAAAGCCGAAGAGCCAGCGCTGTCCGAAGACGTTTCCGTGGTCATGTGGCCGGCATGACTTTTTTTCTGTCAAGAGCTCTCTCAGCCCCGCCTGCCTCACAGGGTGTCTGTTGCAGGGAGGGGAAGGGAAAGGAGATTGGAAGCCGCTCTGAGACACCTTTGGGTAGTGAAGGGCGGGATATAAATCCAATCTCCTCTTCTTCTTCTTCTTCTTATAATAATAATCTTGTTAATGTGTGTGTCTGCCTCGCATGGAGTCCAGCTCTTTTGGGCTGCGTTAAAATCTCTGTTAAAATCTTCCCACTGTGTCTGGCATGGTATAGAGATGTGATAATAACAGTCCTTAGCATTTATGGAATGCCTCTTAAATGATCAGATCAACTCACATACGTTCTCAGTAATCTTTACAACTTCCCTGTAAAGACTGTCATTGTTGTATATGCAAAGGGCATGAACCAAAGTGGTCTAGTTGTTTAGCTGTTATCGTAAAGCTGGGCAGAAGATCAGCCTGCAGAGAGAGAACGCCTCCCCTTGCCTCCCGGTCTTCTTTGCCTTTGCTTTTTTCTCTGAGTATCGTTGGCCCCTTTGAGTCCTTCAGAGAGAAAAAGGTAAAGGTAAAGGTTCCCTTGCTCGAAAGCCAGTCGAATCCGACTCTAGGGTTGCGGTGCTCATCTCCGTTTCAAAGCCGAAGAGCCAGCGCTGTCCGAAGACGTTTCCGTGGTCATGTGGCCGGCATGACTAAACACCAAGGCGCACGGAACGCTGTTACCTTCCCACCAAAGTGGTCCCTATTTATCTACTTGCAATTTCTTGCTTTCGAACTGCTAGGTTGGCAGGATCAGAGAGAAAAGCGGGATGTAAATATGCTAAATAAATATATGTGGGTGCTGCTTCTAAAACACACTGCCCCGTTATAGAAAGACAAGTTCTACGTTGACTCCTCACAATATGGGGACCCGCGAGGAATTGCGGGAAGGAGCAAGTTTGGAAATCCCACTCAGTTTGTTAAAATCTTCCCATTGAGTCTTGATTTCTCTTCTCTT